TATGTGTATATATATACATGTGTATGTGTATATATATATATGTATGCGTGTATATATATATGTAGATAAACATGAGGTGGCGGCTGCGCTTGCTGATAAACTGAAACCATTTGAAGTACGTGCACATGGGCATACCTCTTTGACGATTTGTTCGCGTTGCCCATCCGGCAACATGATGGTCAGGAACTGATACTAAAGGCTGCAAGGCTCCTTGTGCAAAACAGAGCTAGACTCGAAAAGCCTCACGCCACGTGCAATGACGCTGAGGCATTAAGGTGTTTAGGTTTTCGGGCTCAAGGTGTTGGGGGTTTAGGGCCATAGGCTTTTCGAGCTTAGGTTGAAATTCTGAAACCAGAAGAAACCTGCCGGGAGCCAGGAAGCCTTCTTGCCGGCATGAGCTTTGCGAAGAGGTGCAGAGGTCCTTTAAAAGCGGAGCCCTATCTTAAAGAAACACTTCTCATGTTCTATTACTAGTGAAGTCAAGGATGCATAGTATAGTCAGTATAGTCATTCAAGAACACTGAATATCTTACCGAGCAGAGCAGGGTGTTGGGGCAACGTGCACCGAGGTCTGTGCATGGAAGGACATCATAGCACGACCATGGCTGAATATGGGCGCCGATACCAGGACTCTACATGTATATCTGAAGACAGCAGGTAGATAGATGGACAGATGGATGGCTGGATCTGCATAAATTACCAATATTATTCCTCGGGGTTCCGTTTTGTAAATGTACTATAGAAGAGCCCATTCCCTATTCTAATTATTTAGATAGATAGATAGATAGATAGACCTACTGCAAGTTCAGGATTTCAGCGGCTCCGACCATCCCTGGCGAACTCTCGGACGAGTTGCCCTCGGAAGGCTCGGGTCCGCAGGGGAGCCTGAGTCGTGCAGAAGGCTGCATCAAGCTTTCTTCTGTCCAAAGCTTAAAAAAAAACAACGCTTTTCGGAAGGAGGAGAGAGCTTCTGTAAAAAAGGGCTTCTTATCGAGTCTTCCTTGCTTTTTAGGAGTTAGTCTACTGCAGCCCAGAAGCCGAAAGATGCCGGGCAGCAGATGGCTCACATCCTTAAAATCGCCAAGGGGGACGGCTTCCACAAACATGTCAGCGGGGCCTGTGGCCTTTCAAACATTACGGGTCCCCTTTTGGTGGGTTCCAGCTGATCAGATTTCAACCGCCTTTCACCTCACTCATCGAGATCAACCTCATCTTGGACGCGCATGTCATCGGCAAGCCGCAGAAGCTAGTCTCCGGCGCAGCCTCTCCTTGCGCGGGCTGAGGGGTCTGTGACTAGCGTGTTCTCTCGTTGGCCACCTCTTCCCCGGTTCAGCAAAACTGGCCCCCGCCTTGCTTGGCGCTTGCTCCCAAAGCCGCAGAGCCAAATAGGCCAGCATCGTGCGGAGCTGCACCTCGCAGCTCTCTCTCTCGCTCTCCCGCCCTCTTGCTTGGAAAGTGAAAGGGCTTGTCAGAAGGGATGCGTTGTGGAGCCCAGGCCCTGCGGGCGCCAATGGCTCAGGCAGAGCTACATCCACGTGGACACCTCCGCAAGGTTATGCTGGGATCACACCTTGTCCAAGGTCACGAAAGCGTCCTTTTGCTTGCGCAGTCGGAGGTGCCTCGACGTCAATCACGTCGGTTTGGTTTCGGACACCTGCTTTGCAGGATGCCACCGGGAAGAGCCATGTGAAGCCCACTTGACACTCCTGGAATCGTTGCATGCCAGCATGGCTTCCATTTCCATTATCATTGACCATGCACAGCTACCACCGACTACCTAGCTACGAGTACACTCAGCTCAAATTCACTTTCCAAATCGACGCTGTCGTTTCTGAAACTGTGACACAATATCGACAAAGTCCTGCTGAGTCACCTCTGGCCAGTGTTTCTCCAGGAAGAAAAGTTCGGCATATGCCAGCTGAAACATCATGAAATTGCTGAGCCTCCGCTCGCCGGAGGTGCGGATCAAAACGTCTGGATCTGGGACATCAGCCGTGAGTAGATGCTGCTTCACCATGCCATCGTCGATTTCAGAAGGCTCCAGTTCACCCTTTTTCACCTGCTCGGCGAGAGCTCGGCAGGCCTGACTGACGTCACAACGCCCACCGTAGCTGAGGCAGACGTTCAGCAACAAACCCGTCATGGAAGACGATCGCTTCTCGAGCTCGGAGATCGCGCAGCGAACATCCCCAGGTAGGGGCTCCGCGTCGGAGACGAGGAATTTGACGCGGACGTTGTTCCTGAGGGCGTGGTCCTGGAGGCGAGGGACTTCGGAGAGGAAGAGCCGCATCATCGCCGCCACCTCCTCGGGATCCCGCTTCCAATTCTCGGTGGAGAATGCGAAAACTGTAAGAAACTCGACACCGAGCTCCATGCTCCAGAGCAAGAACTCTCGAAGCTTCTCACCACCTGCACGATGCCCGCTAAGCGCATCGCCGTGCACCTGCCGGCCGAAGCGCCGGTTTCCATCCATGATCACCGCCACATGTCGGGGCCCCTTAAGTCCCTTCCCACTGCCTTGGTCGGTCTTTTGCCCCAAAGCCTCTAGAGGCTCCTTGCTGTCCTTTCCTATGGCCCGGAGCGCTGCCAGCAGAGCCCAACCGCCCCCTGCCGCGCCGACGGCACGCAGGGCAGCGTGCAGGGCCGCATGCAAGCGACCAAAAACACTTCCACCTGGGTCACCGGAGTCACGAGCGTCCTCCCGACGTCTCCGGCGGCAGATTTCCATGGCCCCGCCCGAGTCAAAGGACCCTGTCAGCCCAGAAGCCTGTGCTAAGTCCTGCTAGGTCTGCGTGCTGCCTTGAGCTTGCGAAAGGGAAAAGGAGCAACCTACGCGCAGTGGAAGAAGGAGACATCTGGAGCTAACAGTCGTCCAGCAGTCCATGGTGAAAAAGGGTAGGTGGCATGGAGGCCATTACATCTAGAAAAAGGGCTTCGGTAGTCTATACTCTGGTCTAAATCTATAGGGGCTGTACGGACATATTTCGGCCGTTGCGACTGCGAACTTTGCACCAACAAAGGCTTCTGACACCTGGAGGTTCTCGTGGCCGAGGCCGAGGAGGAGCTCGTAGGTGGCCCAGCTGTGGCCAAGGACCTTCCGACGATGTCTGTCTATAACATGCATGAAAACTTTTTATTTAGTTGCCATAATGGGACAGATAGCCTATGCTTAGTCAGCGCAACCTTGCTAAGGTGGATCTACGTGAAGCCTCAAGGGGAGCAAAGGCCACAAGTTCTGTGAGTCGCTTACTTTAGGGTTGAGGTTTAGGGCTTTTGTTAGAGCTCCTTTTTGGGTTTCGGGGTTAGGGCTTAGGGCGTTTAGGAGTTTAGGGCGCTTTTTGCTGGAGCTCCTTTTTGGGTTGGGAAATTTACGGTTTAGGGACTTGCCAAATCCCTTGATCCTTTGAGACCACCGTAGAGCCCCTATTTTCTGACCCTGCTCACTGAAGCTCCGAATCGCTGAAGTCTCTACCTGCGCCATCATGTGAACCTTCCTGAAAGTCGTATGAAGCCCTGGAAAGCCCGTGCATGGGTCTAAAAGCCCCTAAACCCGAAGCCCTGAACCCTAAACCCAAAGCCCTGAACCCGAAACCCGAAACCCAAAGCCCCAAACCCCGAACCCAAATGTAAGCCCCAAACCCCTAAATCCTAAACCCTTAAACCCCCTAAATCCTAAACCCCTAAACCCCCCTGGAGCCTAAACCCCTAAACCCCCCTAAAGCCTAAACCCCTAAACCCCCTAAATCCTAAACCCCTAAACCCCCCTAAATCCTAAGCCCCCTAAACCCCCTAAAGCCTAAGCCCCCTAAACCCCCTAAATCCTAAACCCCCTAAACCCCCCCTAAACTAAATTCTAAAACCCCTAAACCCCCCTAAACCTTCGCACACCTCCGGCAGTTGAAGCACGTCTTCCAGGGCCAGGTCGACGAGAGGCATCGCGGGGAGAAGCCTCTGGGAAGCTTCTTTGGGATTTAGGGGTTTAGGGCTTATAGGGTTTATAGGGTTCTTTATAGGGTTTAGATCAGGGCTTTTTTTTAGGGTTTTTTTAGGGTGTATATAGGGTTTTGTTTGTATAGGGTTTATATAGGGTTTATATACGGTTTTTATAGGGTTTCGGGCGAAGGTTCAGGGTTTAGGGTTTGGGGTTTTGGGTTTTGGGTTTTGGGCGTAATTAGGGTTTGGGGTTTGTAGTTTGGGGGGACACGGGCCTAGGAATTTCAAGGCTTCACAAGGCGAAAAAGAGTTCACAGCGTTAATGCGTCTGGACCCAGTGGACCATCCGGAAAATAAGACTCGTGCCGAAGTAGCGGAACCGAGTGTCCAGAACCTCAAATTATGTAACCTGGCGGTTTAGGGTTTAGGGTTTAGAGTTTAGGGTTTAGGGCTGGCAGAGCATCTAATTACGCCGTCATAGATTACTTGTACTAACTTCGGATCTGTCGGAGGAGGTTCTGGAGCATCCAGCAAGGATTCGACGGAGGAAGCAGAGCTTGCAGGCCGCGAAGCGGGGCAAGCTTCCGGCCAGGCTTCTAATTAGGCCTGGCAGGGCTAAACCCTAAACCCTGAACCCTAAGACCCTAAGACCCTAATGCCCTAATACCCTAATTCCCTAATACCCTAATACACTAAACCCTAAGCCCTAAACCCTTACTTACGAGACGAAGCCTCCAGGCCAGGTCCCGGAGCTCCGGCGTCGGGGGCCCCGGGGGGCGACTGCGGAGCAGCGCAACAAACAGCCCGCCTCAGCCCCCAAAAGAGGATGACGGCTTTAGGATTCAGGGTTTTTTTCTGGGGCCTTTTCGGGAGGTTGGGTCTATGGGGCTTTGTGGGCTCTTTTTTCTGCGAGTAGGGCTGTTTTTGGATTTATGTAGGGTTCTGACGTGGGTCCCATAGCCAGGGCTCTATTAGGGTTCTATCGGCGGTTTCTTCGGTTGCATCACCCAGTCTCTAAATGTTCTTCTTTCAGGCTGTACGGGTTCCCTGGGTGTTCAGAGCCTTAGGGCTTTCGGGCTTAGAGCTGTCAGGTCTTCGAGCCTTAGGGCTCTAGGAGTTGAGGGCTTTAGGGCAGGGCGTTTTCGGAACCATGAAGCGGGATCATGCAGCTGCGGCAGCGGTAGATAGCAACGAACTTAGACGACGAGGAATCAGAAGAGTGATGAGAGTTTTGACTGCCACCATCATCAGAATACAATCGGCAAGCATGATCATGATAGTGACACTAACAACTACATTAGTAACACAGGATAACTGTTTGTCTGGCGTGCGGGGAACATGCAAAGTCACCTTCATGCGCCTCCAGGCAGTGCTTTTCGGCACTCTGAATATCATCTGCATGTATGTATACAAGTTATTATGGAGGTAGTAAACATGCAACATGCATACAAGATCCAATGCAATGTCCTTCGATGGAACACATAACATAAAAGAACACAACATAACATAGCACCTGTGGTTTCGTCGTATCGCTCGAGGGCCAGGTGAGCACAACCGTTCGACAATATCATAATGTACGATCAGATAGTCCCTTCCACCTAATTAATATTAAAGGGCCCCCCCCCCCCCCCC